GAACTATCATGCGGCAACGCCCCGCAAGATGTCTGGTGTCTAAAGCTCAACCATGACCCCGCGTAAAACCCTCACCTGCCCATTCTCCAAAAAATCTGGTCAGGGTGAAGATGGAGACTATGGGTATTACATATGCAACCATCATCTTAACTCCTTAAGGGCGGTTATATAGGGGAGTATTATAGGGGTTACTAAGGGGGATACTAGGAGTTTAGACTAGTTCATATGAGTCCCTTTAACGGGGTTATACAAAGGTACATCTACAATATGACAATGGCCATGCAGGCAGTGAGCACTCCATGCAACCGGAGCCGCCTGTGAGCTCAGCCGGCATGAGAAACCTTTTAGGGCTTAGGGTTTAGGGGATGAAGCAGGCTTATCCGTGTTGCTTGTGGGGAAGTATGTTACTAGTAGTATGGATAATGACTTCATGTGCAGTAGTGGGGTGTGGTGTCATAGAATTGACAACCAGTTCCTAACAACGACATCGTGAACCAGGAGTTCAGAGCTCACATCCCCACGAAATTCTACGTTCTCATGATGGGTTTCTCTGAAAAGGAGGATCTTTTACCAGGAAGACCAACAATTCCTCAATAGCGGGTTGATGACTCACGGTGTCTTGTGTCCACGGCGGGGTCCTTGTTCTAGGGATGGATTCGGGAAGTTTCGAACAGCGGGGATTTTCGTGCGTTGTGGTGGCTTTGGTGCAAGAAATTCCACATGAGATTCACGTTTCACAGCATCCTCAACCCAAACAGTTCAGTGATAGGTTTGCAAGGTCAGATTCTCATGCTAAGTCTTCTCAGGCTCCGGGAGTCCGGAAGCTGCCATCAGTGGGATTTCTGAGCAGTTCAATATCGAGATTCGCTGCAGATTGGGTTGTCCGCACAGCTTCCGCACACGAGGACGGAGGTGATACAGCAATAAGGCTATGAATCTGACTCACAAGCATGACCCTCCTACGTACTTCTTGTCTTGTACTGTCCTACTGTCCTCCTACTACTACTACTACTACCTTTCCTGCTGCTACTGCCACCCCTCCGACCATCACCGCCACCAGCGCCCTCATCACACTTGTACCGTTGATATTGCTGCTACGTCAAAGATGAAGACAACAACGACAACTAGGTAGTAAGAGCACAGATGACAGAAACTAACGGTTGGCACCCAGCTCCAATCGCCCCGAGCCCCAACCCCTCAACCCAATGCAGGAGGTTCAGGAGGCCTAGAATGCCATACTTGGAGAAGACAAGGGCCGCAAAAATCATGGAATGCTGGGTATAATATAAGGTTATACAGGGATAATGGAAAAGAAAATGGAAGCTACTATAACAGTAATCACTTCATGTAGCACTTGGCTCGTTAAACGTAGTCAGGATGTCAGGAACACTCATGGCGCAGGCCTGCCATGATCATGCTCAGAGTTTCCACGCACTCGGCCTTCAGGCGTGTTATTTGCCGAGGGTGACAGGCACGGGGGTAATGGAAAAGAACATGGAAATTACTATAGTATATTGGGGTATAATATTGTGTAATGACACTGTGGGAAATAAGCCATTTTACAGAGGTTTGCGACTTCGGTGTATGCAAACTCTTGATTACTGCTTTTGATGGCATAGGTGGTGAAGGTTTTGTTGCGAGCGCCAAGGCAGTACGACATTTTCAAGTTGTTAACGCTTCTATAGTACCTGCTTTGAACACGTGAATTTGGCTAGCAGACCCAGGGATGTATTGTTGCTGTAGCGCTACCCATGTTAACATAAGCTCTACGCACCTAGACCGTGATGTGGTATCGTCTTTGGCCCGTTTGCGGCTATCAGCCCAGAAGAAGTGAGGCCCCCTACCCTGAGGCCCCCTCCCACCCTTTTTGAGAATTATCTTCGGCGGCCACACCTGAAAGCTACAGTTTTTTGGTGCAATTCGTAGTGCAGGTTGTGCTCTGGGACACGCGTGGACATGCCTTTTGTGGGAGACTCAGGTCTCCTCCAAAGGCCCCAGAACTATCTTTGGATCCTTAAAAAAGATTTCCCTTTTCGTGCGAGACCCTATGGTAAGTTGTAATTGTGACGGAGATTGGACATCCATGCGGAGGTTCAGAGTGCAACCCACTAGTGCATGCTTCTAACAAGTCAATGTTCTTGGCGTTACCGGCAAGCAAAAAAGGGGAAAGGACATGATCATATCAGGTATTTGTAATAAAAGATGCTTTGAGAAAAATACCGCAAATCCCAATTTGAGAATATCAATTATATATCTTGATTCTTTATTTGGGTGTCCATCGGCTCCTCGTAGAAAACTGCAATTTTGAGGGATTTCTGATTTTGATAATTATAAGAATAGAATATATTCTTGAATGTGAAATAATAAAATGATAGATGGAGGTTTCTTTATCGATTATAGAAGATATATGAAAGATAGATATGAGATTTGCGAATCTAGGATAGGATAAATAATGAAAATGAAATATTTTGATATTATGGCGCGGTCATTTGAATATAAAAATATTTCATTCGTGCGTCTTAGATTTCTGGTTCGTTTTTAAATACTTCTTATAGGTTCTTTATAGGAATTATAGGAAGTATTTAGGAACTTACGGAAAAACTAGAGACTTTGAAATTAATTAGATTTTTGAAATAGAGGGTGCGATAAAAATTTCGGAGATTTTTTATCGCATATTATTTCTCTTTGGCTATTGCCGCGGTTGCTCAGCGGACGATAGAGTTCCGAGACGATAATATAGGTTGGTTAGATATTATTTGTCTGTACGACATTATTCGTCGGAATGTCGTCACGTATTTTCCATTATTAATTCATTTTAATTCTAATTTCATCTGAAATAGGATATTTCGAAATTATTCTAGTTCATCTCGAGCCTCGTTGAATCAAGAGAGGATATAGAAGAGGATTCTTGAAAGAATAGGCTCGAATTATTTTTTCTGAGATACGAAATATTTCAAATTGCTAAGATAATGATATAATAATTTGAAGTTGTGTATTTTCTGATTCCAATGATATTAGATATCTAAAAAAATTGAGAATTTCTAGAGACGAAATATTTAAGATAATATATATTTCATAATTCAATTAAATTCTATTATCGTTTTCTAATTCTAAATCTTCGCATCTTAAATTCTAATTTATAAATAAAATTCGAATTATAATATATATTCTCTGAATTTTTCCCGAAGCTATAAACTTTCGTTCCTTGCTTTTCTATTATGAAAAATAATGAAAAAATGTTCGCCTATTCGGGGTAGATCTAACGGGTCTTTAGAGATATAGGGATCGTGATTTTCGAGATTTTGATATTCTTTTATAGAATTTTAATTTTTAGATAAATTTTCGGGCGGTATATCTATATTTCTATCGTATAGGCAAAAATTCTGGATACATCTTATATCGTTCCTTTCAAAATCGCGTTCTTGCGCGGCGGGGAGGGGGGGAGGATTCCTAAAAATCGGATTATTTTTGATTTTTGATCCAAAGAATAAATAAATATCTTTTTAGATATCTTTATTTGAAGGATCCGTCGTCGAACGGATTATATTTCGATTCATGAAAATTACGTTCAAATATAGGATTTTATTTATTTAAATTTTATATTCTCGATCGAGATAATGATTTTGATTATCTCTATATTTTCAAAATCGTATTCTCATGTAGAATATCTTTGAAATTTCATCGATATATATTCATCAAATTCGATGAAATGATATTCTCGTGCGAAATATACGGAATTATCATTTTATAAATGATGATCTTGAGGAATTCTATATCAATTCTATATCAAATGAATCTCGATATATTTCGTTCGAAGAGATTTATCAGGCTCAAAAGGGGGATATTGAACGGAGGGGTCCGAAATGATTTTGATATAAGATTCGTCGATTTCGTCATTCAATATCTGAATATTAAATAGATAAATCTCATATTAATTCTATCTCTCAATAATATGGCGCGTTTCCTTCTGGTCATTTCGTTCGTGCGCGGCCTAATTTTTCTAGTTCTTGTCTAAAATATTTCTTATGGACTCCCTAAGGATTCTAAGATCTCGGAGATTTTAGAGCTCTTCGGAAAAACTAGAGGCTTCTTAAATCTCCGAGATTTTTGGTCGTGCGGTCCTTGCCTCCGGAATGATCTTTCTCATCAGATATATCTCTCTTTGATTAATTATGCGACGGTCCGGAGAGCGCTTAGATCCGGAACGGAAATTCGTAAATTTTCAAAATTCATAATTTATTCGTATCTATCTAGATTTATGCTCTCCCCCGAATCGCCGCGTAGATAATCTAAGTCAGATAAATGAAATGGAAAGATCGGATCGGATCCGAGAATCTCTCTCGAGATTTCAAATCATTTCTTTTCTATCTAGATAGCAACTCGATAGAATATATAGATCCAAAATCTTTCAATTTATCTCTTCTATATGATTCATCTCTCTTTAATCTAATTGATTTATCTATATTTCTAGGAAGAGCGTAGAGACTCGGACGGAGAATCTCAATTTTTCAGATGACTTTAATAGCGCTTTCAATTATATTAATAGATAATATTTTTCATTCCAAAATCGTGCGCGTTTCCCTGCACTCGCACGATGGGCTGCCTGGTGCTACGAGCCTGGAATTTGGACCCCATCGAGTGCCCTCTACTTCCGGGATTCAACAAGGCGATCTACTCGGCCCTCTGCTGTTTGCGACCGCCTTGCAACCGCTCGCTGCCGAGCTACAAGCTGGGCCGCTAGGCCTGGCTATATTTTTCCTGGATGATAGCGTTTTGGCAGGGACTATGCCCAGGCTTGCGGCGGTTTTGGCGCGTATTCAAAGGAAAATAACGGAAGTTGGATTGACGTAGAACCTGGCAAAATACAAAATTATTAGTAATATCTTGGACGCCAGGGATCTTCTGCCGTATTTTCCCGATTTTCCCCCGGAACTTCTCCAGAACCCCAACGGGTCCAGCAGGGTCTCGCGGAATTTTGAATTCTTGGATGCTGCCCTAAGGGATGACGTATTTATCAATGCCCGCGCCGAGCAGCGCGCGGCCAGGGCGGCCAAGCTGCTGGAGGCTTTGGCAGAGCTCGAAGACCCTCAGGTCGGACTGCGGCTGCTGAGGGCAGGCGCGGGCTACTGCCGCGTGCTCCACAATATACGGAACTCCCATCAATATATTGACGGCGTTTGATGACCTGGTGCGCTCGTTCTTCGCTTGCTTCATGGGTCTCCCCCCAACTGCTGTTCAGTGGCAACAGGCTGCAAGGGGCTTTGCGCAGGCGGGGCTGGGCTTGCATAACTCCTACATCTCGCATGGGCCTGCAAGATAATTGACGTCTCTGGACTCCAGCATTGAGGTCTGCAAGGCCATTGACAAACGCTTCTCCATAGATACAGTTTCTTCCTCCGCGCCTGTGGCCGCTGCAGTGGCCGAGCTCAACAACCAACTCCCTGCCAACCGTGCGCTCATGGTGCACGCCGCCCTGGCCAACAAGGGAAGGCACCTGTCCGAGCTCATCGATACTGCTGGCTGGGAATACCAGCTGGCACAGGCGCCTGCGGCCGAGAAGGCTGCGCTCCGCTCTGGAGCCGGCCTCGGCGCCAGAGCCTTCCTGGCGGCAATCCCGTCCGGCAAGACCAGCATGGAACCCGCAATTTTTATTCAGGAACTGCGCTTCCGCCTGGGGCATGCATGATGCTTCGGAAGACACCTGGTGCCCCAAATGCGACGTGGCGCTGGGACAAATTCTCCCATCATGCCTCGGCGGCGAACGCAACCTTCGACATCCTTCGACATAATATTATACGAGATGCTATATTTGAGTGGACTATCAGGGTTGGTCTTGCCCCGGAGAAGGAGCAGGTCGGGCTGCTCCTGCCCCAATCCTCTGAAGATATTCATTCAGCCAGGCGTCGCCCCGCTGACATCTATTTGCCGGCCTGGGCCGGATCCCCTGCTGCACTTGACTTTGCCGTCACGACACCGCAGCGCGGCATGGGCTGGACAAGGCGTCATCTTTCGTCCCTTGGTAGGGAAGAGCACGGGCTGCTGGGAGCCTAGCGTTGGTGCCTTTCTGAAGTTTTTGGCCGGAACGGGGGTCACGAGATCTGGACGAAGAGGCTGCTCCGATCCATGCCGGCTTGCTCCAGGAACTTTGCATCGTGATGAGAAGTTTGCGGGCTCGCGCCGTATTGCGGCGCCACGGCGAATTGACCGCGCCCAGCGGCATCGCCATCACAATCCTTGCAAATAGGTTATATATCTCCAAATGGTCGATACCTCCTGCATTCAAGCATCAATTTATCTTTCTCGACTGCCCTTAGATAGACATCAATATTGGGGACTCTCAAATAGAAATGCACTGGCCTCAACAATACCTATAAAATTGCAAGCTCTGGTAACTAAGAGGAGCTACAAGGTCGAATTCCTTTCCAGTCCTTGGCATCCTGGCAATTTCGGGCAATCGTCCAAGATCTATAGTTATATTCAAGAATTAGCTACTGAGTCCAATCCTCAGAAACTACGAATCATTATTTCTAGATTCATAATTTAATTATCATCAAAAAATTTCAGATTCTCCCGAATCGTCGCACGCATATCCATAGAGATAGAATATAACGAAAAAATAATAAGAAATACGAGCGCAAATAATAGAGAATTCATCATCTTTATAAATGCAGAATAGAAAAAGAATATTTTCAATTTCTTATAATAGAGCCTTCTATAATATCATTTTCTCTAATTATCTATGAAGCGATTCGCCAGAATCATCCGAACAAAAATCTTCGCCAATTTCGAAGCATACTCTCTATTTATAAACGTATTTCATATAGATACTGAATAGAATTCATTAGCTTATAAAATCTTTATTCCGCCAATATTAATCACGCGCGATCTCATATATTTTTTATTTATCAAATTTCATAGACGATTTTATTTAATCAAGATATATCGACCTTTTCATTCTAATCATTCTCAAAGAAATATTTTCGATTATTATAAATAACGCGTAAAATCCTATATTATATCTTTCTGCTAAAATAATTCGTCTATTTTATAATCAAATGCCATAATCAAATATATCTATTTCGAGATATCTATTTTCAGATCATCGTAATCAAAAAATTAGTATGGGAATGCTGATCTTAATATTCATCTATCTCTTGATTGAAAATAAATAAATATTTGATTTTCAGGAGAATTATTCTTATCCTAATATAAGAAGAATTAATCATTTTGATTATATGCCTTCAAAAAATCCTATAATATTATTTCGATTTGCCGTTGCTTATTGATCAGAATTCCTGGTAGCAGAGTTAGTTTCCCAAGTCGCGAAAATATCAGCAATTGGATACAGAAACCTTGCCAGGGCTCAAAGATTTTTGTCATTCATCCAAGATTTCTGAGCAGATTGCACGCAAGTCTGCAATGGACATGACCATCGGCTGAGACGGAGCTTTCCTACACGCCTACAGCTTCTAAAGCCATTCCTTAAAACAACATAATGCAGGTGAAGGGGGATGGCCAGTCGCAATGTTTCCAACATGTCTTGGCCTCGCACATATCCCCCTTTCCTCCGAAGAGCAAACAGCGGCCATGCGAAAGTGGAGCGCATCATGGGGCCATTTCTTGATACATGCAATCGACACCAGTCCTAACTGCTTGTACGCAACCCACTTCCACAGCAGACAGAGCTCTTCTGCAAGTCTTGAAGGCCACCGCTTTTTTGCAAAAAGTAAACAGACCGGCTTCTGATCCATGACTTTAGCAATTTACTCCAACATTGTTGGCCATCACAGGGGTCACCTACACATCGACTGCGGATTATTTGGCCTGTACCTAGAAGGCATATTTGCCTGTTCCTTCTGCGCCCACGGACGTCCTGACGCCTCAGGCGCGGAAACCCTGCGCAAGGGGATTAACTAAACAGGTCACGTGCGCGAATCACGCCTTCTTGCGTTGAACCTAAAAACTGCGCAAAACTGAGCTTGCCATGGAATTCTAAGCGGACAAATGATTGGTGGGAACCCATGGAAACTAATTGTCAGGAGGTGTGAATTTCAGCATGCCTTTCGGCACCAGCGCGCCAGCTCTTTCTTGGAGCACAAATGCTCAGTTGCTTTAGTCACCGTATGCACTCGGAACACAACAATTATTATGATGCTTTGGGCATGAAGGTCTTGGTCACTGTATACAGCGCGAACGCGGCCATGGTCTGGCATGGCTGCTCTGGTCACCGTATGCGCTGCAATACGTATGATGCTTTGGGCATGCTTGCTCTAGTGACTGCATAGTGAAAAAGGCGAAGAATGGAAGAACAAGGCACCGTCTGCTTAGGCGGTCTGCGCGTACGCCACCAGCTATTATCAGCATTCTGGGCAGGACTACAAGTTGGTGCCTATCAGTCGAAAGAAGCCTCGTAGGGTTCTGCGAAAGAGGGCCGATGACAAAGGCTGGGCTTTTTGACTTTGTTGCTTCGGTGAGGCTTGCTATACAAGACCCAGATATCCATGTTGCAAATACCCTCTATTGCGACCGACTAATTGACTAAGGGGTGTAAGGGCATTCGACTAAGTAGAACCCTGTGGGTCCGGCATCTGTATAGGAGTAGCTCATTCAGAATGTGGGTCGTACTCTACTTACTCTATTAACATCCCTGTTAAGCTGGGTTGCTGTTGAGGAACTTCATAATGGGTATATATATAATAAATAATAGGGTTTCCCCAATCGAGCAACTTCATTAAGTTCCTTAAGAGCAACCCAGTAAGGTGTAGGGTTTAGGGTTGACCTTCCAGCCCTATGCTCGCAGTCGTTCGCTAAAACCCTGCGAGGCCTCGAGAGAGGCTCCGACGTTCAACGTATCCCGGAGTCCTGAGCCCTTCCGGAAAGGGGTTCCATGTTCTCCCACGCAGCTGGATGAACAGTTTGGGGTTTAGGGGTCTTGTGGAGGTTTGTGTACGGGTGTACAGGACTGGGGGCTTGCGCTCAACTTACTATTTGCGCCCAAAATCATCTGAGCGGCGCTTGTGCTAGAAGCAGTTACAATGATGACAAACGGCATGTAAGCGGATGACTGTACCGAAAATCTACGGCTTATGCGGTTCGAGTTCGGGTCCTTGGCTCTTTCCGGCGTTCGAGCGTTACTTTTGCATGCCCCTGTTTTAGCAGTCTACGAACTCATAGAATATGGTTGGGGGGGTCACAAAAAGCGTAGCTCCAAAAGGCTTCAGCATACAAAGCAATCATCAATGCTGCGCTCCGGAGAAATTCTGCGACTGCTGGACCGCAGTGCTGTCGCTTCCAGGTCTCTGCAACTTCCGCCCTGCCTCCTTGGCGTTACCTACTCAAATGTCAGCCGACAAAAGCTTTGTCGTTGACACGTGTCAGCCGGCTACTCCAGTAGATCCATGCAGCTTGAGGTTGTTTCAGTCCATGAGGTTGTTGGAGCTTTTGTGTGCTTATTGGTGTTAGGAAGGGGGGGTTTCGCGGCGCAAGCTGCTTAATCGTTCGAAAAACCCAGCAGCTGGATAGATCTTACAAATATTGAGAGCTGTTACTTCTAGAGGCTCAGACTTCTAAAACCATACGCCCAAAACTTGGTGAAGCCTTAGCTTCATGAGACCTGATTCAGTCAGTCCAGGAAATGCCAGCCTGCGCATCAGGAGGCTTGGAAGTACAGAGGGTTTGGCATTGAAGCCTGTTAGGGATCAAGGAAATATTTTCGGTTGAGGTCAAGCCTACAGATTTTGGGAAATGTTCGTTATTAAAACCAATCTCCTACGATTTCGGTTAAGACATCGAAGCTATAGACTTCATTCGACATTTTTACTCTGCTGAACTAAACCAAGATCCAAAAGTGCCGGGAAAGCCCATGGATCAACAAAAATACCGAGGGCGATTGCTTGCGGGAATGAGTCATGGACCCATGTCTCTGCACCGGTGTGGCTCGCATAAGATTCTGCTCAAGAGTCTCGCAAACTACGGTGTCACGCTTGCTAGGCATTCCGCCCTTAACGCGACTCTCTGATTTCTTCGGTGTCAAGTGGCTCTGATGCAAACGTGTCAATAGGCTGCCATAACTTTCAAGCATGTAGTCTTTCAGGAAGCCAAGATTTGAGCAGCATGATCCTATGCCTGTAGCATTCTCCCAGAAGACTTCGACTATAATATCCCACATTGCTGTTGGGTCGAGTTTAACAGATAGTCGCACATCTGCAGCATGCGTTTTAGCATGGGATCAGAACGGTCTGGAGATGCATGAACAGGCTTCCTTTGCGCTAGCTACAGCCCTGAGGCTGATACTGAAACTGAAGCAGCGCATTACGCATAATACATACGCAGCCCGGAATCTCCAGAACCCGTAACCCGGAAACGCACAAACACCACAATATACGATGACTATAAATCCGAAAGTTCTTGGTGTTGAGTCAGCTGAACTCTGTCGCGCGTGCACCCATGCGCTTGCGGATGTGTGGTTCTCGTTGAAACAAAACTGAAGTTCAAATCCACGAAAGTCAGCGCGAGCCTTCAATAATGCACCTTTAGAGCATTATAAAGTTTTGAAGCCACACACGCAGACCACCCAAGCGCCTGTTCTAGCATTTGCTGCATCTCCTGATCCGACTCCGACGGCTTGAGCTCGATTGCTTCGCCTGCGAGTTGGCAGCTAAATGTTGGCCTACTTTGGGATTAGCA